AGGTTGGGGGGGGGGAGGAGACGGCTACGTCGTTTTTGGACGTGAGCAGGTCGGCGAGCTTGGCCGTGGTCAATAGCGAGGCTTCGAAACCGAGGACCAGGACGGCGCCCAGGCGGAGGGCGAGGGAGGGGGCGAGGGAGCCGGCGGAGAGCGGAAGGAGGACGAGAGTAGGGACGAAGAAAACGGCCAGCCAGCGGGTCAGAAGGTCCGTGCCCGGCTTGAGCACGCGGTAGAGAAGCGGCCCCGCCGCCGTCGTCCCGGCGCCCGTGGCGAGGAGGAGGGCGAAGAGACCGAGCATGCCGGCGAGGGGGGAGGGGAAGGCGAGGCCCCGGGCCAGGAAGAGGCGGCGCAGGGCGGCATCCAGCGCGATAAAGGCGGCTAAGGAGAGACCGGTCTGGAGGCTTTCCACCGGCCTGGGGCCCTGCGCCTTTTTGCCGACCAGGGCCGTGTCCAGGCCGCGAGCAATCTCCGCAAAGACAGCCTCCTTCTTGGCCGTCCCGTCCACCTGCACCAGCACGTCCTTGTAGCACCCCGCCACTGCGTCGCAGTGCTCATGGAAGGCCCTCAGCCGGACCTGCACCTTCTCCTCCGTGTCGTCCGACCGGTGCACCAGCCGCTCCCTCGGCACCTCGGGCGGGGGCGGGCTGTACTTGAGGTGGTAGATCTTCCCCGTCGCCGGGTCGGTGCGGCGGCCCACCACCCGCTCCACCAGCAGCTCGTCCGGCACGTTCAGGAGGACGAAGGCACTGGGAGCCACCCCCAGGCTTTCCAGGGCTTGCGCCTGAGCCTTGGTTCGCGGGAAGCCGTCGAGCAACCAGCCTTTCTCCTGGCAATCCGGAGCCGCCAACCTCTCTTTCACCACGCCGATGATGACCGTGTCCGGCACCAGCTCCCCTCTGTCCATGAAGCCCTTCGCCTCCGCGCCCAGCGGCGTCCCGTCCCGCACCGCCGCCCTCAGGATGTCCCCCGTGGAGAGGTGGACCACGCCGTACCTGAAGGGAAGGAAAAAAGAAGTGAAGAAGGCGGGCAGAGAAGGGGAGAGAAAGCAGATAGAGATGAGCATAGAAGGAGGCACAGGCCACTCGAGGCGCCTCTCGCCCGCACGTCTCTGGGACAGGCATACCGGGCTCCGTGGGGTCCCGAGGCCTCCCACAGCCCCCACTACCCGCCCTCAGGCTCATCCGGAGCGCATGTCACCAAGAAAATATTATTTCATTTTATTTTGTATCTATGCACGAGGCAGCTTAGTGTGCAGCGCGGGATAGGACGCCTGCTGAACGGGCCTACCTCTGTTGTAGCATCTCGCACTGCGTCCCCTTGCCCGAGGCAGGAGCCCCCGCTATAATGATTCGAGGCGGCGCCACTCTTGCCGTCCCACGGACTGCCGTAGCCTCTCCCTCCCCTTCCTTGGCCAGGGCCGCGTCGATGGCGCCCTTGATCTCCGCAAAGACAGCCTCCTTCTTGGCCGTCCCGTCCACCTGCACCAGCACGTC